AATGGCGATTCGAAGAAAATTTCCCCCCTACCACAGGTAAGTTCGAAGCATATGACGGTCTTCATTTTGAACATCCTAAAAGACGATCCCTTCTTCACATTTGTGTTTCTAGGCTCATAGATTACATTTCAATAGTTAGTTGTTATAGTTATAGGAAAATATCAACAGGTTTTTTTAAACACCCCTTTGTGAATATTATCTCTATCAATTACATGGCTTACACACGTTCATAAAATGCGGAATTCTCAGTATCAGTTGATTGGGAGAAGGAAGTGGCTAGGAAGTGGGAATCAAGAAAATTGGCGGTGTACTCTTCGATGTATCAGAAAAGCTTTGATAGCTGCAAAACCAACAAATCCAGGGTGTGCACACGAATAACGTCGAATAAGTTGCCACAAAGAGAGAAATGATTTTAAGTTCTTGGTGGATGAAAATTTTCCACGGAAAAAAATTTATATAAGTGTATTGGTGATGGTGGTTGGTGGTGATCGTAGAACAACGACGGCTACCGACTTAGTTTTTGCACGTCATACAAATGTCCAATAAATGTCAGCCCAAGAATGGTTCAGAGCACTTCAAGCATATCGACTAGGGATGTCCCACAAGAGCTCGGTGAAGAGTGACGCACGTGATCCTGTCTCATGTGCACTCACTATTTGATCAGCGATACGCCATACATAACACATATAAACATCTTCAGCTATTTTCTCTGGAAACGAGCGCGGCAACCACTCTAGAAACTGAAACGAAAACTGCTCTGTCTCTTCAATAATCTCATTACTTTTTCTCCAACTTTAAAAGGTTCCTTAGAAGGCAAGAACATTCTCAAAGTCTGCTAAAAACTTCCGATGCAAAAACACTCAGAATCGAAATCTATTGTACTCTCCATTCCAGCATTCCTTCACTTTTCCAAAATTTCTAGATTTTTCTAGAATGTCTAGATTTCTAAATTTTCTTGACAGGAATGACTATTCTCGAATTTTGCTCAAAAGTTTCCACTTAATAAATCGCTCAGAAGTGAATTTTGTCTGTCTTCCCATTCCAGCCTTTCTTCACTTTCCCAAAAACTTTGAATTTTTTGCTAGAAACCATAGAGGCCTTCCTTCCAGTTTCAGAATTTCCTCGATTTATCAAAATTGTAGGCTGTGCCTGTGCATGAATGAATAGTCTCAAACTTCGCGCAAATAATTTGGGTGTCTTCCCGTTCCAGCCTTCCTTCACATACCCAGAATTTGTAGAACGTTCCTGAACAAGAACGAATATTTTCGAACATTGCTAAAAGCCCTATGGTACATAGAGAGCTTAAAATTAAAAATGGTCATTCTTCCCATTTCAAATTTCTAGAACGTTTCTAAAAGGAGATGGATACTCCGAGCTCAGCTACAAATACTTTGAGGTGGAATTTGTCATTGCTCATATTCCGAGTTCAGGATCCATAACAGCACACATGTCCACCATTAGCTACGTTTTTCTGCGGCTGACTCAATGCCTCGCTCTTTTTTTTGTTTTTTTTTCTCTTTTCCGTGAAAGTTTTTTTTTCATTTTTCTTGCCTCTCGTCTTGCTTGCCTGGTGAAGCCCACGATGCCGGTTCGCAGTTGATCTACTTCAGCCGTGAGAGTTTTTTCTCATTTTTCTTCGTCTTGCTTGCCTGGTAAAGCCCACGATGCCGGTTCGCAGTTGATCTGCTTTAGTCTTCTATAAGCTGTAACTCTTGAATACTTTCCTTTTCCATTCGTAGCCTTACTGAAAACTGAAGAAGCTCTACTTCCATGGGTTATTAAGCAAATACTACGGTTAGTATGTTTATGCATTCCATTAAACTGGAAAAGTGCGCAATTACCTACGATGGATGACCGGCAGCGTAGTTGCTGAAGGTTCGACTTCTTTTCTGGGGATAATATGGTCTTCTTCCCTATTTCTACACCACTGTTTCTCGTAGTCTAGAAATATGTCGTAAATGCTTGAACATGACTCTGACTACCAACTATTGACTATATAGGGCTTGCAGGAAAGTCCTGCGACAAAAAATTCAAAGCGCAAAAAAATTTATAGACAATGTGAACACGACGGCAAGGGTGATGAACTACTAGGGCAATTGCCTGGCATTTAAAACATGGGTAAACAAGGGCACGCACGTAGGCTTCCGCAGTGTTACCACCAATGAATGGATAACATACGACTCGTACCATCACCTTCTACTAGCAGGGAAAAAAGGGGTATAGCGACATGAATTACAGCAACCCACTGGATGCTAGCAGTGACCATCGATCAATGGTCAGCAATGTGTTAGATAACTTCTCTGCAGGAGATGCTAGCCTTCGAAGTTAAGCGAGCATCGTACCATAGCTATGTGGGGTATAAAGGGACCCATCCACAATGACTTGCTGAGCGCGCACTAGATATCCACAGTTCCCGTTTAACCCTATGAACCCTAGTGTTTAGTCAGCGCGGTAGGAGAAAGACGTCCAAATCCATGTTTTTGGTCCCTACTTAAAGACAGCGCATGTCAAAACTTTGCTTTGAATACCTTTCAAAATTCCATCGGCTCGCCTCGTTCAAGGTTCTCATCACTCGTACTCCCTGCAGGTTGGCCCTTTTATGACCGTGTGCGCGAGCTTCTCAAACGCCTCTTTGTGAGGAAAAGATTCGAGAGAGATAATTGTCGGTAACTTCACGAACTTTTCCCTTTTGAAAAAAACTATCGGTTGTAGAGGTGCTGAATGAACGATGATATATATCATATCTTCATAGAGGCCTAGATAGAGTATCATCCTGAAGATCGAAGGATATCGACCAAAGCTCTTCACGATGGATATTTGAGCTATCACTTTTCAACAATGCAGTCATGCATAGGGTCACTCTTCATGTAGAGACTAGTTGCAGTGTTGGAAAAGAACTTTGACGAGACTTGTTTTGAAACAGTTCACAAACAGAATTTCCAAAGCTGAGAAGGTTGAAGAAAAAGTCTCATTTTAATGTACAAAGGGGAGCTGGAATCCATATTTAGTCCTTTGACAGCTGATGATAACATAGTGAACCACCCTTTATCTAGAATTCATGGAGAGACCGAGGGGCTCAGTGGAATAGTGAACTCATGAACATGTGAATAAATTTTGGTTGCATGCATTTTTGAGGAAAATTTGTTCCGGTGATATCAAAATTGTAGAATAGATACCCTAGGTTTATTAGTCGTCAAGTTAACAAAACTACCAATGCTTTACGATTACCATAATAAAGCTGATTATCATAGGAGGTTGAGCCATCAGCTCCAGTGAAGGCACGCATAGTGAACAAACAGCCGCCTTTTGTCAAACCCATTGCTATCATTCATTGGGTCTTAGAAACGGAAATTATTTTCCGAGATCATTGGTAGAGGCAGATTCTATTAGAATCTCACCAATTTTCGGAAAGGAGAACACATTATCTCCATGAGAGGTGAGGCTTCATGAGCTAAAGCTGTGGCTGAACAACTCATCTATGGGAGACTTTCCAAATTTTCAAATGCTCTACATGCATATCAAAGGGACCTCTCTGAAACGCAATAATTCCAAATGGTTAGGTTTTAACACTTATAGTGTTTCCATTTGATAGAGAACATCTCTGAAAAGGTAATTACCGCTTGCGGATTTTTCCATTAAGTGTATCTTCTGTTGATTCTTCGTTCAGCCTAAATGCTTTCTCATGTACTGAGCAGAGCGTGGAGCGTTTATCCGCGGAAGGTTGTGACAGTATTGCATACACTTCCACTTCTAGCGCTAACGATCTCGTATAGGGGAAATGTCTATTATTTCGCTTCATCGTTACGGCAAACGAGCTCAGATTATGAGAGAGAAGATTCTTCTCGTTTTCTGCATCTCGTTCTTTCAGGACTCAAAGTGGATAGAGTCTAAAAACGTGTCAGAACTTGGGGATCAGTTTTGCTCCGCCTTATTCACCATTCACATATTTTCAGGCCATGATGAGAGTGCAACCAGTATTGAGTAGTTGATAGCCCTTGTTCACGATCAATACCGCATTTCATTCCTTCAGTCTAAATAGCAATTTTTGATCGACTCGCTTAACCTTTTTTTACCTTCTCTCAAAGAACTTGACTTATAAAACAGATACTGAAAAGCTCTCTGCATATGAAGAATTTACAACTTCAGTTCCATATGGAAATTCCTTCAATTCGTTCCTGGAAACCGCCTCAAAAACCTCCGATTTCGCGTCATCTTTTGGGGAACACTTAAATTGTGTTAGACTATCAAATTTCAGAATGGGCTGTATGTTCCCTGTTGATAACAGCTGATAGTTCTCATTTAGATGTAATCAATCGCTGAAACTAATTGAAACCGCTTTTTTAATGGTGACAAAGCGTGTCTTTACTGCAAACTACTTAGTTGAGTTTTATAGAGAACCTGCTCAAATTCAGTATGTTGTCGCCTACCGTATGAATAGGGGAGGCGTGACTGCTGCTGTCTTCCCCGTTACAATCCGCTGTGCCCCCATGCCTGCTTGTGGGTTCTTTTACCGTCCATTCCACTGTTTCTTACTGCGTGAGTACTTATATGCTGGCTCTGAAACATGTACCTCACAATCCGAAATAAATTGGAGAGCTCCGTCTCCACACTCTGTGCACTCTTTCATAATCCCTTACATTGTTTTCTGTACTTTTATTTGAAATATATTAAACGACTTGAGGTTCTATCCATGCCAACGGAGCCTCATTTATCCTTCTACTTCTGCTACAGCTTATCCTACTCCATGATAGCACACAACTCCACTGGTCACGGTTTACACGAACCTCTTCATCACTGCGTCTCCGCGAGATTCGTCCTTAATTAGATTGAGATGTACTTTATCAACAACTTCCAGTGTTTTATTCGGCACGAGGCGAATTCAATGATATTAGCAGTGTTGCTTTTTCTAAGAGTAGCTACTTCGGCATATTTTTCACAGGTGAGAAAGGTTCTTTCTGTGGAGTTTACGTGCAACTCTGAAATCCCAGTTTTAGTTCACCATGAGGGAACCCGATAAGGATCCTTGCTACGAATCAACCGGAAAACCTGTCAGATGTGTCCCCGAATTCATAAACGCAGCTTTTGGTAAACCAGTCACTGCTTCGAACACTTGCGGTATGGATGGGCCCTCGAGGTAATTTTTGTGGTCTTTCAAACGAGTGCTTCGCTTCAGATAATGATAAGAAGCCATTCAGATTTTCGCTTTCAGTCAGCAAAGAGTCATGCGGTCGGTATCGCAGGAGCATGCTCGGGTTTTCATTGTCCGCAAAGTGTTTTTCTTTTAGATTCTGCACCATCAGCGCAGGCAATGATGGAACCGTGCGAGAAACCTGTGATGTGTGCGATGCCTCGAAACCTCAACACTCTCATCCAGCATCGCTAATCACCGATTTTAACACGCCGGGTAACATGACATGCTGGATTTCAGAACCATCACCAAAGCCCCAAAACGTATCGCTCACGTTGTCTCTTGGAAAGAAATTCGAACTAACATATATATCCATGTACTTCTGCTCACGTCTACCTGACTCCATGGCATTGTTTAAGTCAACAGATCACGGAAAAACATGGATTCCTTTTCAATACTACTCGTCTGATTGTTTATCCATGTTTGGAAGATCACCTGATGTAGCAATAACTAAACATAACGAGCAGGTTTGTATTCACTTCCCAGTGAAAAGTATATTATTAGTGATCCTGAAGATTGGTAACACCACGTTCAATCAATGAACAGTGATTATCGCGAGACAGAGACGCTGATTTCAATCAGTATGTTCCCATGGAAACATTTTTTAACTAAAGTGCCAATGACACAAATTAGCTCAATGTAATGGATTTGAAACTTAAACACTTCCCATCCATTCATACCAACATTATAGGAAGCGCTGTGTACCAACTCACACACAGTGGCCCCTATAACGAATCGGGTCGCCTTTCCATTCCTTGAAAATCGCCCATCAGCAATATTCTTCGAATCCTCTCCTGTTCTTCAAGATTGGGTGACAGCAACTGATATTCGTATTTTATTCACTCGCCTTGGTTCGGACCAGGTCAGATCTTTCTCAACCTTTCCGCAACAATGAGTGGGTGAATCATATTATCTTAAATGTTTAGAAAAATTTATTTGACGCATTAAATGATGTAAACGGTGAGTTCAATAGCTCAACCGATAATAGCACCAAGGATTTTTTTTATGCAATGGGAGAGTTGGCTGTTGGTGGTAGATGTAAGTGCAATGGTCACGCCAGTCGTTGCATATTCGACAAAATGGGCAAAGTACGTGAAAGTTAGGTATACAGTGAAGGAGTATGGTATTGTGATTTCCGCAGACGTGAAACTTATTTCCAGTTTATCTGCGACTGCAAGCATAATACTGCTGGAACGGAGTGTGAAACTTGCAAACCTTTCCACTTCGATCGTCCGTGGGGACGAGCAACATCTCAGACTGCTAATGCCTGCGTAGGTATGAAACTTTATTTGGTAAACATGTCTAATCAAAAATCTGAACTGCATGCACAACTACAAACACACGTTCTAAGACAGCAAACGCCTGAGAAGCTGAAGGAAATTTTTAGCGAACAAATTCTGAGTAGTTTTGTGATCTGTAAGCAAACATTTCGTAGTTCATGGCCTAATTCTGGAATAGAGTAGAGTAAGTAAAGTGCGCCTTCCCCAATATTTCCAGAATACCATACGAAGGTGCATTATATTGAGATATTTATAGCTTTTTGGTTCTCATTTTTTCCTCAAATAGAGCGTCCTTGTGAAAAATCAGTGAGTCTTAGTATATCCTCACACTTTCTTGACGTGCATTAAGCTTTACAGGTCAGACCTCTCGCTGCAAAGCCTTCTGTCGTTTCTTTCAAGTAGCTTTTGTTCAAAGCGAGCACCGCTTCTTGCCCTTTTTCTTTATCCGACAGGGCAAAGCTTGAGTAATAAACAAGATTGGATTAGGGTGGTGCGCGGCAATATTCCACCCATGCGACGCCTCTTTTATGTTCCCATTATGTGCTCGACAGATAATGAAATCGATTCACGCAAAGTTTCACAGTCCCCGACTCCGGACGACGGACATATAGCATCTGCATTCTGTGAAGAATACTGTTTTTTTTCTTCTGAACTCGGAACAAATAAATTTCTATCCAACAAATGGTTGTTTGTTGAATAGAAATTCATTTGTTCCGAGTTCGGCATGAGTCTGTACTCGTCGTTTAATGCAATTTAGAGCTGAATCAGAGAACCGTAGATGATTTGAGATATCCGTTCCTCGCGCATAGACATGCAAATGAAATGAATATGATTAACCGAGATGAAAAACAAGGGTGCAAATGGTGCACGTCTACCAATATATAATAGGCAGGTGTTGTGCACAGTCTCACTCTCATATTATGCAGCGGTCGGCGGGTGGGAGCTATGGTCAATATTAATCGAGAATTCTATTGCTGACAGCTACTTCTGATTGCTGTCACGCCTAAGCGCATCTTCCTCGAATGAAGTTGAGATTCCAATCTGCTATTCGAAATACATAGCTCTTCCTAATTGTACTGAAGTCTGAGGAAAGCTTGTATGTTTAGATCCCAGAGGTGTTTGTCATATTCACTGTCGTGCTTATTTCAGCATGTAACTGCAATATGCATGCAAAAAGATGTCGCTTTGATCAGGAACTCTACCGGCTGAGCGAAAATAGGTAGATCTGAAGGCATCTTCCTTAGTATTATTGTGTTTTTAGCGCATTCCAGAAGCGGAGGAGTCTGCATGAATTGTCGACACAATACTATAGGACGCAATTGTCATCTCTGCAAAACAGGATACTTTCGAGATGCTAACAAACCCATAACCAATAAGAAAGCTTGCAAAAGTGAGTTTAATGAGTACCATTGCATACTTGCATTTCTCTGAAATTTCCCCTATAAGCACCACATGGAAACATCGTAACTGAAGTCAACAGTCACAACCCCGAGTTGGAGTAAGTTCGACTCACCACCACATATATGTTGGTATTCAGATGGTACTGAACATTGTATAATCGTTAAATGCCCTGAAATAGTTCGAGAATGAGAATGAATGAGCGGACTTATTCGGAGCTTTCCATCTATAAGAAGCTTTAAAGAAAGTCTGAATTGGGTCGCCGGAATAACATCTACAACTTCTGTTATATAGTGGAGTTCTCATCTGATCTCAGCTTCCATATAAAATCACGTTAGCTCTGCAAGTAAGTGATTGCATACACATAAGGAAAATAAAATCACTTTTTTTGTGAAAAAAATACTTCTCCAAAATCATATTGTCGATGGAATGCTCAGGTACGTGATCCATTACTATTAATCACTTCGAAAGCCAGGTGGTTTTTTGAGAGCAATAATCAGGTACTCTAAAGAACACGCAGATATTCAGTTGCCCACCTAGTATCAAGAAATTCTTGCGTATTAATATGGGAATAGTAGATAGATGTGAAAAGGCTCCAGTATGAAAGGTATATATATCCAGTAGCTTACTGTCGTGCATGCTTTCACTGACCGACATAGAAATTTCAATCTTCAACTTCATAATCCGATAGGTAGCAAGAAGCTGTTAAACTTTATTATATTCCACTTTATATCGTACTGTTTCGACCATGACTACTCCCTCAGTTGAGATGGTGGTGAGCTCCTCAGCGAGTTCATTTTTCTGAGGACATTTTAATCGCAATAGTCCAATCTACTAACTTACCGTTTTCTGCACTTGCTACCATCCCTTCAACTCAAATTTTGATATGATATGCGTTTAGTTTGTCAGGGAGTAATTCCCCTTTCTCTGCACAAACTTTTGGAAGCTTAGCGACGTTGCACTGCTCTGTTTCCTTCGATCGTGGAACTCTGATTTTTTGCTCTTATTGTTGATCCACTTCAGATATGGAATAGAAGCTGAAAGATAAATTGACTATAAGCGATAGCCGCTCATCGACTGAAAAAAATTTTTGGTAGTATATATCTCTGAACGGACAATGTGGCACATGACTCTGCACCTGGATGTGTGCGCATCGCATCTCCAGTGCTACAGAGAAGAGCCTTTTCGGACTGTCTGACATAAGGGATAAAACCTGAATTATGTGTGGCGAACTGAGAAGTAGTATCGGAGGGTACACGAAAAATTGCTCGAAGGAATGCTCGCTATATCCCATGTGGACCTATCCTCTTGCGCGGTAATGCTAAAACACACTCACATGGTGCAACACCCAAGTGTTCGAAACAAGAACTCTCCCAGAATTTACGAATTACTTCTTTTTCAGTACACTTGGATTACCGAAAATCCTTTTTGAGCAGTAATGATTGGTTTCTTTCCATTTCACTGACTTTAAAAACCATATTGCTCGTTAAGAGGATTCACTTGTTTGTTGAACTGTAGTTGGCCAATTTCAATGAATCATGATGCTATTTGGAACAAGAAGCCTACGTTCGAGCAATCATTTACTCACTCACTTATACGACTCGTCTTCACTCATGTGCGAGCGAAAACGACGAACCATTCGCTTCTGTCTTGCGCGATCGCCATCCACGGTGTACTCAGAATTCGACGAAGATGACGATGTAGCAGTCGTTCAGCTGCTGTCGCAGCTGTTTCACGTGATTGACAAGCACATCCCCCGTCTCGCAGCAGGCCTACCCTTAGATCGCGAAGATCCTACGGGAGCTCACTCGATTGTCCTTCTTGTCCATCTATCATCATCTCTTCTCATTATACAATATGACCGGCCCCACCAAAATTTTGCATTCTTCATGTATTCCACCGGATCAAGGAGTCGAGATATTCTGCTCTGCGCATATCGGAGCTGCGGAGTGCGGCTCGATATCGAGTGAGCCGGTCAAACCCCAAAAGACATCGCTCGAGCGCTCTGTGACTTGTGTTCAAAGCTCTTGACGTGGATGCGCTGGTCACCCAAGTCTCCGACCCGTAAGAGAGCGCAGGAAGAGCTGTGGAATCGAACAAATTAGCGCAAAGTTCCGTGTCAGCCAGATGGTTGGTGACCTCTTCCAGTGGTCCGAAGGCTGCCCACTCTGCTTTCTGCCGTCTCATCAGTTCTTCCCTCATGTTGTTCTCCATATTCATGGAACGCCGGAGATAGACGAAGGACGAGGTTTCCTCGATGGGTGTACCATCGATCTTGATTGGACCGCCGTCAGCCCAAACATTCTTTATGAACTGTGTCTTTGTTTGGCTGATCAAAACCCCGTCCTTCTTTCCTGCTTTATTAAGCTCAGCAAGTATGGTCTCAGTTCCAGCAATGCTGCCTTGAAAAGAGAACGATGTCGTCCGCAAAGCGGTATTTGAGTGTAACCGTTGCAACCGTCCATCCACACGAACACCCTTTTCGTCTCAGTCGAGCAACTTCATTACCCAGTGAAGCGTGGCTGTGAATAGCTTCGGCGAGATAGTGTCCCCTTGTCTCACACCCTTCCTTATGGAAATGGGGAGAGGTCGTTGGAGCAGCTTCAACGTCTTAGTGCAGCGGCTGCTGCTTTCAGCTGGTACTCTTATGGTGAAGGGAGGATCCACTCCTTGATCGACCAGTGCTGACAGGACCGCATTCGTTTCGACGCTGTCAAAAGCTTTTTCATAGTCGACAAGGGTAAGGATAAGAGGCATTCGGAATTCTCAGCACTTTTCGATGACCATTGCGACCGCTTGGATGTGGTCTAAGCAGCTGAATTCCTTCCGGAATCCGGTCTGCTCTATAGGTTGAGCTTTATCAAACGTTCGATATGCGGGTTAGAATTATCTTCGTGGACAGCTTGTGAAGCACGCTCAACAAGCTTATTGGAAGGTAGCTGCGAAGATCATTCCGGTCTCCCTTTTTGTGGAGAATGACCATCTGCGAGTTCCTCCACTGGTTAGGGATTTTTTCCTTTTGGAGGTAGGATGTCATGCGTGTTGCAAGAAGCGCATGAAGTTCGTGGCCACCTGCGCGGAGCAAGTCGGCTGATATCTTGTCGGAGCCTGGAGTTGTGCCCCTTTTCATGCTCGCAGTCGCAACTCTCACCTCCGAAGGAAGGATCCGACGTAATGTTCCGTCAGTGAGAATGTTTGGTTTTTGCACGTCTGTCGTGGATCGGCAAAGGTTGGTGTGAGACCTCCAAGTAACTCCCTCCATACTGTTGTCTTGAAGATCCCGACGACATTTTCTCGGACTAGTCCTGTTCAAAGCTGCCCTCAGTAGTTTCCTCTCTCTGTATTGTTGAAGGGCTTGCCACACTGCCTGACTGCAGCTGATATTCGGTTGCAGCCTTTCAAGGTGTGTAGCGTTCTGGTCAAGCCTCAAGCTTCTTCTTGTCCTGGGACGGAAAGGGAAAGGAAAGGATCTGGAATGCAAGGGGAGCTGTCCACTCGCGGAAGCTTGGCCTGTTTAGCACAAGTGAGAAGACCCCGAATCAGCGCGTCACAGTCTTCGGTCGGGTCATCCAAGACCTGAAAGCTATATCGGGACGGGGCACTATTCAGAACATTTCCGTCGTATACAACATACTTCGAGCTCTTTGCGCGATGTTGAGAGATATCTTTCAGCTTGTGACTGAATCTGGTCTTAGCGCGAGGGAGACGATGATCAGAACCACTACAGAAAGATGGTACCACACCAACATTCAGTAAGCACCGCTTTCTGTTTGTTAATATGTGGTCCAGTTCAGCATGAGTTGTACCGTTTAAAACCCTATGTCCAGCTGCGATGATCCTTCTTCTGGAAGAAAGAGTTCCCGTGGAAGAGTCAAGCTGCCGACAGGAGTCCAGCTCGACGATTTCCATTCCCTTCCTGCCCCCATTCCGAACTTTCAAATCCCGAACCCCTCCTCTTGTGCTTCGCCAGACCTAGCGTTGAAATCTCCAACAACAAACTTGCAAAAGGTCTTTTCGTTGTGAATGATTTCCTCAAGTTGGTCGTAGGACGCATCGATCTCTACTCCGTTAGATGTAGAGGAAGGAGAGTAGCAGTTAACGATAGAGATTGTCTTCAGGCGCGAATGTCGTAGGCGTAGGATGGCAAAGCCAGGAGACTGCGCCTCATGAGAATCGACGAGATGGACGACAGATGGATGCACGATGAAACCAACGCCGGTGACGCTTCGCAATGGCATCTTCCCACCACGAATGATGACGATTCCATCATTCATTCGTCGCACGCCGGTCCTCCTGCTCTTGATTTCCTGCAACGCAATCACATGATTCTTAATGTGACTGGCAGCAACGAGGAGCCCATAGAGAGCGGCATTGGAAGAGACTGTTCTCGCGTTGCATGTATAAAGTAGGAAACAGTCCCCGTGTCGTGTGGAGAGAGTGCTGCCGCGGTCCGAAATCCGAAGCGTCCTGCGCAACCCCCCGAGATTACTTTGCTTTTCACAGGTCGCCATACCGTCCGACGTTGGAGACGGCTGGGCTCAGCGTGTGGGGTACTGAAGCTGTATTACTGCTGTTTTAGCAGGCTTGCTTCCTGGAGAGTCTCAATACTGCCTTGCGCTGAGTCTTCATCATCGTGGCTGTAGCCACTCTGGATAAGAGGGAGCTGAGGTGGCCTACTTTTAGCCGTTTAGACATGCAGACGCGGCGTTGAATATCAGTTATGTATAGATAAATACATATATAAATAGTGGAAAATGATGAATTCTCCAACGCAAAAATCTTTTGAGCAGCAGAAAACTTAGGCGAGAGATTTTGGACCATACAAGCCGACGTCTGATGGTAGTGACGAAAGCATTCGGTGACAAGACGCCTCCCCTTTGGTAGGCGGATATTTCCCGAGTGAGCCCTGGTCCTTGATCCAGAACGCGATGACTCAGACGTAACGTACCGGGGCCACGCTTGAAGAACGGGTTCAAGCGCGACCTCGTCTGGACGGACAAGGGTACTCAAACAAGGCCGCCGCCATCCCTCCATTTTCCCCCACATACACCTGACAACAGCTCCGATGGCGAAGCGGCAAGTCGGTCAAGGTAATCTCGCGCATGACTGAAAAACAGTAGATGTTTGCGGTGGAGCATATGATGAAACGCTAAAAATTAGAAAGAAAACAGAAATATTATTGTTACACAAATCAAAATTGCTCAAATGGGACACGCCTACACGCCTTAACGCCACCCTCGAGTTGAGCAATCATGCAATCATTTCGAAGAATATACGTTCAAATCGAGGAATCCTTTTTGGACTGACCTACTATTCACTCATCCGAAACCTTAATGCATGTACATTATGGAAGCCACTATAAGTTATCGGGATAATTGATTTAGAATGATTGCTGTAGCACTGCAGTAATCGTCCGATATAAGACGGAGTCAAGATTTAGAACAAGGAAAACAGACTCTCTTTTGTTACGTTTTCAGTTGTAGTAGAGGTACTGTTCGAGAAATTCAATAAGTTAACAAAGACTGAGTCGGAGGCCATGTAGCTTTCGTTATAGGCTTTAGATTCTTTAGTAGTTATGGAGTCATATAATTCTAGTTTATAATCTGCTCAATAATATAATCTGCTATAATCTGCTTAATCTCGCGACATTCCAGAATCAACGAGCTTCGTCGATTGTTCAGATTGTTGCTCGACTATGGCTCAAGGAAAAAGCTCGAGATTGGCTCGCATTGCAAAAAAAGTCCATGAATCTCTGAATGTCGAGCTATTACCGAGAAATTTGGGGGCATACAAGAATATATGAGGAAACTTTGCTCTCTCAACCACAAAAAAGCACATCTTCACAGCATCCTCGTAGAAGCTGGGAAGCACATTTGCATATATCCTAAAATGTCGAAATATTACACGTAAAATTGTGGGGATGTAATTTTTAATGGGAAAGCCTTGCTGTCTATCTATGAAGAAAACACCACATGAATACGTGAAAGCCAGACTTAGAAATTCAACGCAGTACTTCTAAGAATCCGTCGCATATAAATATTGGCGTAGTAGATAGATGTGAACAAGTTCCAGTGTGAGAGGTATATATATATAAATTTATTTATTTATTAACTCATTGTCTTGCATATCTCTGTATGAGTAACATCACTGATTCCGGTAGTGTTCCTGTTTGTTTGTGCTCTTTATTGACCAACGTAGAGGTTTCGATCGTGGCAGTTTATAATCCCATAGGTACCAAGAAGATGATGAGCTTTATTATGTCTAGCTTTATATCGTCCTTTCGGATCATGACTACGTCTTCACTGAGTAGTAGTGAGCTGCTCAACAAGTCTTATTTTTAAGGAATATTCAATCATAATAGTTCAATGTACTAATTTGCCGTTAATCTATTATCAATTATTTGTCTTTTGGTGCCTACCCTTTCTCCTCTGTGTCAGGAAGTAACTCCCGTTTTCAACTGTAGTCAAGGTACTGTTCGACAAATTCAATACGTTAACAAAGACTGAGTCGGAGGCCATGTAGCTTTCGTTATAGGCTTTACGTTCTTTAGTAGTTATGGAGTCATATAATTCTAGTTTATAATCTGCTCAATAATATAATCTGCTATAATCTGCTTAATCTTGTGGCATTCTGAAATCATCGATTGTTCAGACTGTTGCTCAAATATGGTCCAAAGAAAAAACTCGGGAGTGGCTCACACTGCAAAAAATGCCAAACGTGTAGGGAGCTTTTATACCGAGCGACAAGATAATACCAATACTAACTGAGAAAATTTTGGAGGATGGCTGAGGTGATTTGAATGTTGATGATGTGAGATGTTCACTAGAACTGTCTCGCTTCCTATTATGAGAAGTTTTATGAGGAGATGACAATTTCGAGTCAGTTCTCCCGCTTCCTAAAACACCTTTCCTACAGGAGATGCGCCGCCAAACAACGTGGTCAATTTATAGGTGCGTCCACAGGATAGGGCCTAGATTGTGTTGCAGTATTCCCTTTTTGACCAGTTTGTCAAACTGCGTCCAAATCTTCTTCACAGAAGATGGACTGTAGAGGAAGGAGTTACTCAGATATTGTTTCGGTCACGTTTGCAAAGGATCGCTGCAAAGTTGTTAATTTTATCGTAAGCAGACAAGCTGGATCCCCGGCATGTTTCTAAGCTCAGTAGTTTTCACTAACGCGAGCCTGATTCCTGCAACTTCAGCGGCGTGTTCTATCTTCAAGATAAAGGGGTTATTAGATTCTGAAAAGGATGACCGTAACTATGAACAGATCACAGTGTTGCAAGACCATTACAAAATAGAATAGAACCCCTCATGCTCTCAACATATTAGAGGCAAACACAGTAACAGCATGCCTAGAATCTCGCTCGGCTTTGACTCTCTATTCACTTTCGTCCGTCTTATGTCATGCAAAACGGATAGGGTAAATGCAGATGGTGCAAAAGGTCCTTGGATAGTTGACTGTCAAGAATTTGGATCCATAAGCAAAACGACAATATCTTTTGTTTCGCGAATAGGTCCAATCAGAGTTTATTTGGGATTTTTATTTTATGTCAGTCAGAAGCCTCTGACAACTGCTATGCAATAATCCCCATGGTCACCGTCTTCTGGAGAAGAAATCTAGTCTTATTTCATCCGATAGACTCACCAGGGTATGGCTTCAAATTCCCATGGAACTTTCAATCGAGGAATGGATATTTCGGGAGAATTCGAAATGCCATTCGTGAATTCAACAATTGAGTACTAAATGTAACTAATGTAACTAATGTAGTAACCAAATGAGTAAACAGAAAAGTTGTAGACGCTTTAAGCTTCATTTTGCTCTGGTGGAATCTGTGAGTGCCCTTGTGGCTGGGGCTAGTTCGTGTTTCTTCAAGTCAAAGCCTCCTCTGGAGGTCTATTTTCACTTTTTTCTATTCTGGAAGCTGCCAGCGCTTTTGTCTTGTATTGTGGTTTCGTATTTTACTTGACGAGACTTCGTGTGGCCAGGGTCGTTATTCTTGTACGAGCCACCACTCGAGGTCAAGGTTCAAAGG